AGTTAGTGTAAGTATACTACATTCTTTTCTGTTTTTTCCTCCTTTTTTTCCCCCTCTGAGCTTCTGTCTGAATACTTTTCCTTTTGATCTATCTTCGAGGTCACTAGCTTATCTCAGCTGTATATAATCTGCTATTAAACCCTGCTTCTGTTATTTGTTTCCACATTTAAAAAAAGTCCAAAATTTTGTGGCTTAAAACAACTGCCATTATTTACTTGCTCATGGTCTGTGATCTGGGTAAGGCTCAGCAGGGATAGTTTGTCTCTGCCACATGGTGTTGGCTAGGATAGTTTAACTGAGGTTGGAGGATCCAAGAGCATTTTGCTTATATATCTGGCACCTCAACAAGAGGGACTGGAAGAGTTGGGGACTGGCTGGGCCTCTCTCTCTTCTCTTTCTCCAGGACCCATCTCTCTCCATGTGCCCCACTTCTCCATACTAGCAAGGTAGTTATGATTCTTTACACGGTAGCTCAGCACTTCAAGAGGGTGAAATAAAAGCTACTAGGCCTCTTCATGTCTAGGCTTCAAACTATCAAAACATCATTTCTCCCACATTCTTCACTCTACATAGTAGCCCTTCAGATGGTTAGATACAGATACCCCAGCCTCCTGGGACTCCTGTAACACTACTTCATCTGGCATAGTTTTGATTCCTTCAGTATCCTCCATGGGTCCTAGATCTAGAACAGCACTCAACAAATATTTATTCAATAAATGAATGAATGCTAACTAATAATATAATTGTGAGCTAATACTCCCTTCTGCAGCATATGCACTACCATTGAAACAATACTAGCACAAATAGTAGGCAAACTTGCAAAACTCTTCAAACTTTTAATATATTCTACATCTTAAACCCCATCTCTCCAATTAGCTAGCAATACAGTGAAATCACCCACTTTGCTCCTCATCCTGCAACACGGCAGTGAAGAGGTGAGAATGAAAACCACCTAAGTGGAAACAGTCTTTGGGCTCAGAGTCTCAGGAGAATTCCTAGGACCTAAAGCAATCCCTCTTTCCATCCCCAAATAAGGTCCTAGGTAGTTTGAGCAGTGTCTTCCAAGACCATTAACATTTCTGGGGTTATGACTGAGATGCTATCTGCGTCTCTACTTGGCAGCGTAAGTACAGTTGCTGCTGTTACCCATCCCTACTCAGGCAATACTGGCTGATGCCAACATTTAACCCTGGACCTCCCTTCATGGCCCATGTTGACTCTACAGTGCCTTTACAACCTAGAACTGCCCCTGATGCTCACACCAAGATGGGAGTTGTCTCTCTCACTACAAGTAGTATATTATAGTTTTTTTTTAATTTGACTCTCAGGAGGATGTCAGTATCTTACCCACCTTCTCTTTCAAGGAAGGTGAGACCAGTCCCCTGGGATTGGGTTGAAAGACATTTGAGAAATACCTCTAGTGGCAAAAGTAATGGAAATAGACTCTGATGCAAGGCCCAAGGAGCTCATGCTGAGTGTGTGTGTGTGTGTATTCACCAACTTTTCCTGAATCCCTTTCCACTTCTTTTCACCACACCATGTAAACAACAACAAAGATAACAATATCAACTAACATTTAATGAGCACTTACTGTATGCCAGGCACTGTTCTAAGTGTCTTATATGTATCACCTCATACATAACTTGGACAGAGGAATAGATTTTAGGCAATTGAAGCATTATGGAATGGGTGAATTTGGGGGCAAGATTTGAAGGAATTGTTCAGAGTTTTATTAGGAAGCTAAGTCAAGATATGAAAGAAGAAGGTAATAACAGGATCATGTTAACAATATGTATATATATGTGTGTGTGGGATTGAGAAGAGGATGGTAAAAATAGATCAAGAAGCCAAAGGCAGGGAGAAGTACTAGCCCACAGGGATTTGAGAATGCTGAAATCAAAAGTGATCAAAGAAAGTTGATATTATCACCATTTGTGAATGAATTTCCTTCTAAGTTTCAGAAGTAAAATTAATATACGCTATTTTGATACAGCAAATAGACCAGCTTCTGGGGCCACACTGACTAAAATAAAATACATCAGACTGTTTTAATGGTCCTAACGATATCTCTAAAGGGTTACATATTATCTGTTAAATATTTGAATAGAGCATTGTTCTGGAATAGCCACAGCTTAGTCCTTTGCATAAAGTGGAAGAACCAGTCTGAAAGCTCTGTCTGCAGTGAAAGCCACAGGGCAATGCTTCATCCCCAGTAGCAATGTGTTGACAAGGTGGTCTGCATCCATTCTGGCTGCAGAGACGGATGGGCTCATAGCCAAGAGCATTAGGAGATTCCTGATGACCAGCCAGGGGGAGCCCATGTGGGTATATTATTATGTCTGATTTGGTTTGATAAGAGATTGAGAGGCAGATGACATGTGCTGAGCAAACCTGAAATCAAAGCCTAGACTGGGAGAAATTTTCACCTTCTCAAAATTATCAAACTCCATCAATTATGTACTCTACTGGCTGCTTTTCCTCATTACAAACTAAAATTTCTCCTAGCTTTAAAACCCAGACAGAAATCACAATAGAATAACTCTCTTTTCATTTTTTTTTAAGAGATGAGGTCTCTGTTGCCCAGGCTGGAGTGCAGTGGAGTGATCACAGCTCACAGCAGCTTCGAATTCCCAGGCTCAAGCAATCCTACAAGCACACACCACCATGCTTGGCTCCTTCATCCTTTCTTGCTACTCCTTCTCCACTGCCAGCAATGAGCAATGAGTTATCTACACTTCCTGCCTCCACATTTTCACCTCTTACACCTCAAGTCACCACTCTCTGGTGTCTTCTCACTATCATTCAGTGAAACAGTTCCCAACAAGGTCATCAGTGACTTCTCAATCACCAGGTTCAATAGACTCATCTCCTTCCATATGTTACTTGACTTCCTTGTGGCATCTACCTGGACATTTCCTTCCTTCTGGAAATTCTTTTACTCCTTGGCTTCTATGACACTAAACTCTTCTTCTACCTGACCCTTAGATGTTGGTGTTACGTGGCTCCAAAATTGGCCACTGCTTTTCTCATTCTACAGTTTTCCTGGGCATCCTCCGTTATGGTTTCAATGACCATTTATAATTGATATCACTCAAAAGTCTACATTCTGTCTTGACCACTTTCTCTAAGCTGTATATTTAGCTGCCCACTAAATATCTCTCTGGATGGCCCATGGAAATCTCAACACATCCCAAACTACTCAAGATCTCATCTCCCAAACTTCCTCATTCTTCATGGATTTCTGCACCTTGGTGAGTATCAAAAGTAATCATCCTGTTGCTCCAGCCAGAAACCAGGGAATCAGTTTCTACTCTTCCTCCTTCCTACCCATCTGCCACCCAAAAAATCAGCAAGCGTTATCTCAACCCTTGTCTTCTCTCTCCTGGTGAGAGCCTATCAACAGAAGTCCTGCCCCCAGCCTCTCACCCTCAAGTCTAGTCTTACGCCGGCCACCAAAGTAATCTGTCTAAACCCAAACTGTGATCATGTCCCTCCGCTGCTTATTGCTCTCCCCTGGTTGGCTTCCAACTGACAACGTTTCCCCTCTCATTTCTCTCCTCTCCCCTATATCCACCCCATTCCCACAGGGAGGCTAGATTGTAGGGGCAAGCAGGCAATAGCTAGGGCTCTGGAAGCTGGTCAGAGGAATCTGAGTCTGACATATAAGGATACAGAAATCATTTACAGCTTCATGAGCAGTGTGTGAAGCTGCATATAATAGGTTCTAGAAGGTTCAGGTTATTACAACTGAGGCAAAAATGACCTAGACTATCTTTCACAGTGAGAAAAGAGGGAAAAAATGAACCTGTAGGATAGGTGAGTACAGTCAATACCAAAAAAAAGGGGGGGGGGTGAAATCATGAGATGCAAGTAATAAGGAAATGCATAGTAATGTAAAAGCACTAAACAAAGTAAACAATCCAAAAGAAATCTAGAGACTTTAAAGCCCCATTATAGGAAGCACAGCACCACAGAACAAGAGCAGGGGTTTAAACATACACCACCATTCTACGGGCAAGCGAGACAGCCCGATGGTGGGGAAAACTATAGCTTCTGTAAAAGGGAGAGGACAGAGACGACTAGTAGAGAATACTGACACAAATGAGAACTGTCCTTGTGACAAGGTGAAGGCCACAGAGTCAGCAGCACTCAGGAGCTGTGCCAGCTGACCCCTTAAGGAAGGCGGGCAACATACAGCATGATGAAAGAAGCAGCATTCATTCATTGGGCAGACCCCAAACGACTCCTTGAATTATTTATTCTACTTACTCCTCACAAAAGAGGTGTTAGGAAGATTCTTACTCTAAAAATGTCTTTGAAAGCAGCCAGCTAGGGAATTTAGAGTAAAATAGTGGTAAACGAACACGTTGTTCTAGACCTAATGAAGTGTATACGTACATAAATCTCCAGAGCGGGATGCTAATTTCAAAATGTTGTCCAAAAGGTTGCCAGGATTGGAAACAAGTCACCGGCCAGAGCAAGTACTTTTCACAAACACTGCAGGCCTATGAAACGCACACAGAGAGCATAGTCGCTTGTGGACTTTGGACTCATGTGGATCCAGGTTCGAATCCTGTCTGTGCCATTCGGCAAATGAGAAAACCTCCCATGACTCCGGTTAAATAGCTTGCCTTAGGTGGGTCCCACTGCACTGTTAAGGGCAGACCTAGAGCAAGAACCCAACAAGGCCGCTGACTCCGGAGCGGTGCTCTTTCCCGCAGCCTGGTGCCCAGGGCAGAGAGTCCCCTCGCGCCGGTGACCCCTGAGCCCAGAGCGCCTTTGTCCCCGACTCACCAGAAAGCACCCGCGTAAGTGGTCGGCTGGGGGCAGCCTGGCGGGGGTCGAGTGGCAGGTGGGCGTGGGACCGGGGGGCACGAGTAGGGAGAGCCCCCAGAGTGGCGCGGACAGGCGGGGAAGGAGGCAGCGGTGGTGATTGGCTGGGCTGCGGCAGGCAGCTCTGGGCCAGGAACAAAAGAGAGCGGGCGGCGGGCGTCCTCCGGAGTAGGCGCTCCCGCCCGCCCGGCACGGGCTTCAGTGCTGGGGAGGACGCGCCCACCGCCTGCCCGCCCGCCCGCCCGCGGAGCAGCCCGGGGTGGCGCGCTCGGTTTCTACGCGAAAGCCGGCCGTGTACCTAGGAATTAACCGGCCGGCGCGGGAGGGGAGGGGAGCGGGAAGCGGGGTGGGGGGGGGGGATGCTGAGCGCGCGCGAGAACAATAATAAGATCGTGTTTGCGGTCGCTGCCCGAGGAAGAATTCGGAGCAAACGCGAGGCCCGGCGCTCGCGCCGCGCCCGGGAGCCCGGGAGGGAGGCCGGCGGCGGCGACATGAGGCAGGCGACGCGGTGCTTGTGAGCAGCGCGCGCGGCGGCGGCGGGGACCTTGGCGCGGCCGGACGCGGGCGAGCGCCGAGCGGCCGCGGGCTCCCCTCCCCCGCTGCCGGGCCGTGATTTGCCGGGCCTGCTGCGCCCCCCGCCCACCCCTCTTCTCAGCCGCCGCCTCGCCGCTTCCCCTCGTCGGAGCGGCCGCTCGTCCGCCCGGCTCGAGGCCCGCGAGGAACGCGGCGCAGTCCGTCCGCCCGCGGGGGGGCGGCCTCCCGGCATCTTCGCGGCGACCAAGGACTACCAGGAAGGGGAGCGGCTGGGATGGCGCGTCCGCGGCCTCGCGAGTACAAAGCGGGCGACCTGGTCTTCGCCAAGATGAAGGGCTACCCGCACTGGCCCGCCCGGGTGAGTACCGCGGCCGCGCGCGGGCCCGCCCGCCCACCATTTTCCCCTTCATGATGGCGCGCCCGCCCCTTTTCCCTATCGCCTCAGCCCGGAGCCCGCAGCTCGCCTCCGGCGGCGGTCGAGGCTGAGGGCGGCGCAGCGCGGCGCAGAGAAGACCCGGCCGGAGCTGAGGCAGAGGGCTCCCGGCCGCGCCCGCACTCCTCCAGGGCGGCCATCCTTCCGCCCACTTTCGAAGGCGGGTCCGGCCCCCGCAGGCCCGACGCTGCCTTCCTCCTGGAAAGCCGGTGCGGACCAGGAAGCCACGCCGCCGGGCAGGGTCGTTGGTGGATACCCTGGGTCCTGGGCGAACGTCGGGGCAGGTAGGGCAGCGGGGAGCAAACCGCTGTCCGCGAGCTGGCGAGCGCCGGCGGCAGTAAATCCTGGAAAGGAGTAGTGGTCATCCAGAGGCCAGCGGGAGCCTCTTGGCAGTCATTCATCCATCTCTTCGCCTTCCAGACTTGTTGAGTTTTCCCTGAGCGCGATTCCCTGTGCCCCGCCTGCCCTATCATTGTCCCGGGGTACGTGCCTCTCTGGTGCCTATCGTTCTTTTAAGCCGACCCCAAATAGCCGAGAGCTTGCAAGGCTAGCTCTGACTGGTGGGTCCAGCAAGCTCCTTGTGCCTTTCCACCTCCATATTTGTTTTAGGTAGAATCTCAAACCTTATTCTTGGCCTCCCACTACAATCCACAATAGCTCTCTTCCTGCCATAGCAAGATTGTCGTTGAGCTCTTTTTCTAGAAAGCATCTGCAGGTAATACATAGCATTCAGAATTTTTATTAAGCCCTTTGAGGAAGATACACAACACTGCCATGTATGCTTTGTGTTGTAGAAGAAATCCCTTTAATTTTTTTTCATGTGGTTGGCAGTTGATTGCCTGAAATAAGAAATCTTGTGAAAAGGAGGGTCAAGCCATCTTAGAGATTATATTGGTATCCTTGAGGAACCGAAACAGTCATGGAGAAAATTGGCATAAATATAGAGTGAGCTCTATGATGTTGTGTTGTAGTTAAGTAAAGATAGCAAGACCAAGAAAAAAAAAATGCACCCATTCACAAAAGGAAGTGACATCATGAGTGTCCAGACTGAAATTTAGTGAAGTTGAAGTAATGGATGGACATAATCACTTTTTTAATGTTTGGTTTGGCACGATTGTCAAATGGAAAGAACACTAGGCCAAGAATTGGGGGACCTGGTGTCTGGTTCAGGCTCTATTTTGGACTAATCATTTCAACTGTCTGCATATCCATTTCTGCAACTCTAAAATCATCTCTAGGATCCTTTCCAACACTAACAACCTCAGATATCAAGAGGGAAAAACAGTCTTATTCAGGTTCCAGTAGACTCTGAAAATAACTTTACATCTGAACTGTAAGTTGTCCTTAAATAAGGCAAAGTTTTCAAGGTAGAATAACTGGTTATTTTTTATGCTATAATACAGTATTGCTTAGAGAGGCAAGATTTGTGATTTTAGGAGTCCCTGAATATGTTTGTGACTTCAGAAAATCCATGAATCTATTTGCCAAATAAGAAATGTACAGCTTTAGGGTATGTGTATATATACACAGTCAAAAGTCAATTAAAGGTTACCATTTACTAGTTGGTCATTTCCTAGTAACTTAATGGCTTTTAAAATCTTAACTTTTAAAAATAACTTCTAATAGTCAAAAAGAAAATAGACTTAACATTTCATTAACATGTTGCTTGTACAGGTTGGCCACCTGTAGTAATTTGTAAAACAGAAAAGTCCTACAGAAATTGTCTTAGTTGTCTAATGGTACATAAAATTCCTGGAAGTGATAATTCCAAATCAACGCAAAATGGAAAATAAAATGAGGAAACAAAATTAGGTTTTTAGATAAAATAAGTACAAGCAAGAGAAATCTGTATCTATTCACATTTAATGAGCTCCTCAAAGAAAGAAGCTAAGACTCTTAAAAAGTATTGTTTTATCGTGAGTGGCATGCTGTGATTTCCAAGGAAAGGTAAAGGTTAGAAAAAGATTTGAGTCCCTGCTCTTTTTCTACAGTGCATATACTTCACATATGTTTTCATTTTTTTTCATCCTAGTTCTGTAAGACATTATTTCCATTTTACCTGATTATAGCTTTGTATATGATAATGTTATAAAATACTAACTGGAAATAAAAAGCTTTGCTTATTGAAATTTCAAATACTATCACTTGATATGAAGGCCAGTCATGTGGGGATTAGATACTATATGGCCCCAAGGACTCAAACCTAGGAAGAAAACCAGGAGGAGACAGATTTCAGAATGCATGTTGTAGGAAGGAACTTTCTATTAGTCAGAGCTGGTTCATGCAGGAATGGAGAAGCAAATTCTCTGATCTAGGGAAGATGTTTGGTCCTAGGCAGCCCTTTGTAAGAAATGTAAGTCAAGAGGATTCATTCCTACAGGTTGGATTCAGCTCTTGGCTGGGCTTCACACTGTGACCTTGTGCATGATCTGTAATCTAAGTTTCAGTTTACTTCTCTGTAAAATAAGGATAATTCGCACTTCACAAATACAGAGGATCTAAAAGCACCAAGTGATGGTTCCTACCTTTTTCCTTTTTGAATTTCTAGCTTTCCCTTGTATCACTACATTATTTTAAATTATTAATATTTGTCAACTTTCATCTCAGATTTATTTTTCCCAATATTTTATCCTGAAAAATTTAAAACATATGGATAAGTTGAAAAATTATACTGTGAAGACCCATTAATTTACTACCTAGATTCTACAGTTAAATTTTATTCTACTTGCTCTATCATGCATCTGTTCATATAGCCCTCCTTCTATCCACATAATAATTCCTCTTATTTTAATGCATTTCAAAGTAAGTTGCAGACATCACTATAATTTACTCCTAGACACATGCTTGCCATTAACCTAGTGGTTAATACTTTAAATGGATCGTTTTCTCTTTTGGATAAAATTTACATAGAATGGAACGGACTTACCTTAACTGAAACATTCAGTGAGTTTGACAAATGTAAACATTGATATAATATAAATATACTTCTATATATAATATATGGTATATATAATTATATGTGACACACGCTAGATATAAGTATATGTGATACATCATATATAACATAAATACATACAGCTATACATTATAGAAGAGTACCTATGAACGTACTCTCAGGCCTCTTTCTAGTAGATTCCTGTCCTCCTCCTTCCTTCTCCCCTGCTGTTCAGATGTGTTATTCTAACATTATATAGCAGCTGGCTATTTCTCATGTAGTATGCCTAATTTTGTGTGGTTTTAAAAATTACAAGTTCATCTGTGTTATGAATTAGCTAGCTTAATACTAAAAAATAGAGTAAAACAAGAGTTTGAAGTCTTTTGTTTGTGTACTCTGTTGGTAAAATAATTTGAGCATATATCCCTAATATATGTAAATTTTCTTTATATATATATGTGTACTTTGTGCTACTACTATATACAGCATAAAATAAACACAAAAAGGAACTAATAGGGATGACAGTTGATGGAAACAGTATGTTTTACATTTTTTATTGTAAAATATCATTAACAGCAATAATACTACTTATAGGTTAAGTTCATTTTTTCTTTTTGAGAAAAAAAGAAAAAGAGAAAGAAAAAAAAAATGAAAGAGAGGAAGAAAGAGGAAGAGGAAGAGGGAGAGAGAACGGGAGTGTTGCTTTATTGCCCAGGCTAGAATGCAGTCTAAAAATGGGTATTGAAAACCTTTTTTTGCCAATAATTGTGCTTAACAATAGAGACAGGAAGGAATAAGGGAGGAAAATAACAAACAAGCAGCCAACCAATATTTCATTTAAACCTGTGAAATGGTATGCAATTACTGAGGAGTGATTTACTTCCAATTATGTAGTCACTTTTAGAGTAGGTGTAATGTGGTACTGATAAGAATGTATGTTTTGTGTATTTGGGGTGAAGAGTTTTATAAATATTTATTAAGTTTACTTGTTCTGGGTCTGAGTTCAAGTCCTGGATATCCTTATTAATTTTCTGTCTCGTTGATCTAATATTGATAATGTGATGTTAAAGTCTCCCACTATTATTGTGTGGGAGTCTAAGTCTTTTTATAAGTCATTAAGAACTTGTCTTATGTATCTGGGTGCTCCTGTATTGGGTGCATATATATTTAGGATCATTAGCTCTTCTTGTTGCATCGATCCTTTTACCATTATGTAATGTCCTTCTTTGCCTCTTTTGATCTTTGTTGCTTTAAAGTCTCTTTTTTTTTTAGATGGAGTTTCACTCTTGTTACCCAGGCTGGAGTGCAATGGCGCAATCTCGGCTCACTGCAACTGCCGCCTCCTGGGTTCAGGCAATTCTCCTGCCTCAGCCTCCCGAGTAGCTGGGATTACAGGCACACACCACCATGCCCAGCTAATTTTTTTTTTTTTTTTTTTTTTTAGTAGAGACGGGGTTTCACCATGTTGACCAGGATGGTCTCGATCTCTTGACCTCGTGATCCACCTGCCTCGGCCTCCCAAAAGTGCTGGGATTACAGGCTTGAGCCACCGCGCCCGGCCTAAAGCCTCTTTTTATCAGAGGCAAGAATTGCAACTCCTGCTTTTTATTTATTTATTTATTTTTGCTCTCCATTTGGTTGGTAAATCTTCCTCCATCCCTTTGTTTTGAGTCTTTGTGTATCCTTGCATGTGATATGGGTCTGGATGCAGGATACCGAGGGGTTTTGGCTTTTTATCCAATTTGCCTGTTTGTGTCTTTTGATTGGGGGATTTAGTTGATTTAAATTTAGGATTAATGATAATATATGTGAGTTTAATACTGCGATTTGATGCTAGCTGGCTGTTTTGCCCATTAGTTGATGTTAATTCTTCATTATGTTGATGCTCTTTACTTTTTGGTATATTTTTGTAAAGTCTGATACTGGTTGTTCCTTTCTATGTGTAGTGCTTCTTTCAGAAGCTCTTGTAAAGCGGGCCTGGTGGTGATGA